ATGTGTGGACAGTAACCGGAGAAGCAGCAGACTGATGAGTTTATCTCTCTGTCACTTCGCTATCTTCTCCTGTCGGCATGCTCCTTGCACTGCTGATTAACAGTTTGCCTCCTTGTACTGCTTCATATTCATATTTAACATTTGGCCGAGCTTGCACATTGCATCACCCAACACATTTATGCAGCAGATTTCTCATTGTACTGAGGTTGGAATCTCTAGAACAGGGGTGCCCATTAGGTAGATGTTGATCTAGCAGTAGCTCTCAAAGCTGATGCTGGTAGATCAGGAAGGGTGTGAATGGCGGCCCCTTTATTCCATTTTGGTATATTTATTTAGCTGTGCACACATGATTACTATTAGCCTGAATCTGCTGAGCCCAGCTCCCTGACACCTTTCTGGTGGATACTGGTGGTTGAAGTGCTATGTATTACATCAAAGAATATTCGTTTACACAGCCTGTTGCACTGCACTGTTTGCAAAATACAGCAAGGGGAGCGAAGAGGGAGAGCAGGGAGAGACACACAGGAGAGAGAGCAAGGAGAAACAGCCAGGGAAGAGAGAGAGGAGAGATAGCCGGGGGAGAGAGGAAGGACAGACAGCCAAGTTATCGAAGAGAGACAGCCAGGAGAGAAAACGAGGAATGACAGCCAGGAGAGCGAGAGCAAGGAAAGACAGCCAGGAGGATGAGCAAGGAGAGACAGCCAGGGGAGAGCAAGGAGAAACAGCTAGGAGAGCGAGGAGAGACAGCCAGGAGAGAGCGAGGAGAGACAGCTATGAGAGCGAGGAGAGACAGCTATGAGAGCGAGGAGAGACAGCTATGAGAGCGAGGGAGGTTTTTTTTTCCGTTGGTAGATCTCATGTAGCTCGTCATTTGAAAACTGGATCTTAACACAAAAAATTGTGGGCACCCCTGCTCTAGAACTTGACAGGCAATTCCGGCCAATGTTTACAGTCAGCGCCTGTGATCATTATCCTTTTCAAATGATAAATGAATAATTTCATGAATGAGTGCAAACAGACTTGCTTGTCTTTAGTGTATTTTGGCCGCACATTTGCTGTAGTCATGGTGTTTCCTTTCTGCCCCTGCTGCTCCAGGGTATATAACTTGTGCTTGAATGGGGTCCGATATTTCTGGATGACACCATTTGTGTTAATGATTATGAATAGATGATATAATGCCATACGGAGGTCAGGTGAGGGATGCTACAAAATGGGTAAGAAATTCTGTGGGCAACCAATGAGGATGAATATAAAACTTTTAACACCGGCCAGAAACCCTCTTGAAGAAAATCACACGGGAATGGTGGATACTTCCAAAGCCTGCATGGGCATCACAGAGCACAACCAGCCTACCTCTAACTGTAGCAATGCGCGATTGTTCTGTATCTTGCAGAAGGAGCTCCTGGAGATGGGCTGGAACCACACGGCGAACGCCAGGCCTGACATCGAGAAAAACCTCAACTGCTGCGGATTTCACAGCTTCAATGAAAGCGAACCATGCGAGGCGGTAAGTATAACAGAACAGAAGTTTGTTTTATAGTGATTTCTTTAAACATCCTCAACAGAATTGCTATTGACTAGTGATGAGATTGGAATTTTCAGAGTTCGAGTTGGGTTACATTTTTCTAATACAAATTACATTGAAGTCAGCTCCGAAGGGTCAGAGAAAGTTTGCTGACACATTGAGACAGCTGTCTTTTTTTTTCTTTCTCTCCCCATCCTTCTCCCATATACATCTCCCTATCCGGTTGTTGGCAACCACGGATGCTCTGGCTGATGTCCAGCCTATCTCCTATCTCCAAGTTGCTAAGAGCAGGGTGGGGAGATGTGTAAGGGCTATACACATCTGCTCACCCGGCTCTTAGCAGCCATAGCAGGCGGGGAGATGTGTATGTGGGAGGGACGCCAGCCAGACCATCCCAGGCTGCTAAGAGCCAGGCGGGGAGATCTGTTTGGCCCTTACACATCTCCCCCCTTTAGCTCATAGCAAACTGGGATGTTCTGGCCGGCATCCCACCCAGCACCTGGCAACCAGTGACCTCATTGGTTGCCAGGAGCTGGTCAGGACACCAGGGGTGCAATTTTTGTAGATACACTTCTGAAGACAAACAAAAGTCAGTCGTGGCTGTGAGGGGCTTCCCATCTCATTTGTTCAACAATAGCTTTCCTAGCAGCCCTCCAAAGAGAAAAGCTCCATCATAAAAAAAAAAGTCTCCCAGTTCAATTTCAATATTCAAATTGGATCAGATTTTTTTTTTTCAAATTTTCCAAATTCGCAGCTATCAAATTTCAGCAGGTTTGCTCCTTACTACTGTTTACTACAGAGTTCTGTCTGACACGTACTGTATCAACCTATTCTTCTTGCAGGCATGTTTTGCATCTCATAACTGTGAGACGTGTGGTTCTATAATCGAGAAGAATGCCAAGGAGGTGCTGAGAGTTGTGGGTGGAATTGGGTTCTTCTTCAGTTTTACAGAGGTAAGTTGGTGCTTAGGTGGTTTTGTGCACACATTAATCTTAGGGCTGACACCACTAGGATTTTTTAAAGCCCAACTACAGCCCTAAATAAAAGTTGTAAATATAACTTAATTTTTTTACAATATAATAAATATTTCATATTTATAAATATTTTATTATGTATGATGATTAAACTACTGGTGAGATATTTGGAAACCTTCTGGTGAACTGTGGACATAAAAGGCTCAACTGCACCCCTTACTTTACTCAGAAGAAAGTACTTCGTATTAGATGTTTGGCATTACAAGGAAAGGGAACCTCTCCCCCACACATACCCAGACATTGTCCACTAAAAACTGTATAAACTAAAAAAAAAAGCTTGGGCCTGAGTTGAGGCTTTTACCCTTGGTTGTATCTTTGATGCTGAATTTAGTCACATCACCTGCAAACTTCAGGCATGCACTATATGGGCAAAAGTTTGTGGACACCTGAACATCACACCTACACTGTATGGCCAAATCTAGGAGGACGCCTCACCAAGAGTTCAGGCGTTTCCAGTGAAGAGTACTGTTAACACTACAGCATACAATACATTTTAGACAATTTGTGGTCTTCCAACCTTGTGGTAACAATTTGGTGAAGGCCTTTTCTATTCCACCATAACTGTCCTCCTGTGCGCAAAGCCAGCTCCATAAAGACATGGTTTGATGAGTTTGGTGTGAAGGAACATGAGTGTCCTACAGAGTACCTCAACCGAACTCAACTCCACTGGGATGAATTGGCATGTTGATTGTGGGCCAGGTCTTCTCATCCAACATCAGTACCTGTCCTCCACCCTATTGAACATCACTGGGATGTATTGGCATGTTGATTGTGGGCCAGGTCTTCTCATCCAACATCAGTACCTGTCCTCCACCCTATTGAACATCACTGGGATGTATTGGCATGTTGATTGTGGGCCAGGTCTTCTCATCCAACATCAGTACCTGTCCTCCACCCTATTAAACATCACTGGGATGTATTGGCATGTTGATTGTGGGCCAAGTCGTCTTATCCAACATCAGTACCAAACCTCACATATGGGCACAAATGCACACCAAAATACTCCCAAAATCTTGTAAAAAGCCTTTTTAGAAGAATGGAGGCTATAATTGCAACAAGGATGAGGGGGCAACTCCATATAGGTGCTGGGGCAACTCCATATAGGTGCCCTTGGTTTTATAGTGGGATGTCCAACAAGCTCATATACTGTAGGTGTGATGGTCAGGTGTCCTTAGGAAACGTAATTTTTGTTGTATTTGTTTTTCCAGATCCTCGGTGTTTGGCTGACTTACAGATACAGAAACCAGAAGGACCCGCGAGCCAATCCAAGCGCCTTTCTCTGATGGCAATAGCATTTCTAAGACTGCTCATCCTCTGTACACTACTGAATCCTCTACAGCGTCCCGGTTGCTGTGGTTGTTTGTTTTTTGTTTTGTTTTTGTCTGAAGGACCTTTTTTGCTTTCTTTTAAAAGGGACTTAAAATACCACGAATTAATTTATGTTCAACACTTGAAGGAAAGCGTAAAGTTGGGTGGGAAAAACAAGATAAAGCAATATAGATCCTGTCACTTAGTCTCAGTTACTATGGAAACACTTCTGAAATGTGAATGTCGATAAAAATAACACAGAACCATGTCTTAAGATGCCAAGTGTGATATTCCAGAGGAATGATACTGCTTATATTGCCTAAAACCTATTTGGGGGGGAGGGGACAGATGGTAACAACCTGGCGTATGGTGAACTAATAAAGAGGGTTCAATGCACCAAAGCTATGAATTAAAGTGTATGCATAGCCAAGTTTTAGTTTTGCATAAAGTAGGGAAGTCTGTCACTTATTTCTTGCTGGTGGCGAGAAGTTCGACTGTAGGATCCTTGGAGTGGGTCCCTTCAAGCATTTAAAGATGGAGGTGGGTGAAAAGCACTGGGTGTGAATAGAACATCTTGAAAGCTACATCCATTTGAAGAACAATGATGACTCTTTAGTGTATAACATAAAACATAGCCAATGCATTTGGAGGTGTTGGGTCTCCCCCTTCTTCAGGGCTTACATTGGGGATGGAACAGTTTAACCAGCTGTGGACATACTACACACGTCCAAAAACGCCATCAAAGTACACAGGACGTGTGTACTCTTGCCTCTCTGCCGCTCCCCCTCTGGCACTTGTTATCTATTCCCGACTGTCACAATGGCAGCCGGGAGTTGCTGTATAAATACAGTAACTGTAGAATCTGCTGCTGTAAAAAAAAAAAAACGAACCACCTGGCTCGGGGTTTATAAACATTGTTCAGTCATGAGAGAAATAAAATAACATTGTTACTTTTGTAATGACTGTTTCATCATTTGCAGATCAGCTTCGGTCTGCATATGCTGTCAGAACTCCGGGCAAAATTTTGTTAACTCTTGCAGTGGGGCTACCCCCCGCCCTGCAAAGGTTAACTGGTCATTTTTATCTAGGAAGTAAAAAGTTCTACTCCACCTGATCCTCCAAGCCAGTTGACTGTGACAGCGCTCCCTCCTGCCTGTGCCCTATGCTCCAGCGATTGCATGTCGCGTCACATCCTATACACTGTGTTTAGAGCGTGATGACTCGCGGATCCTTAGACGGCTGCAGCAGAGGGGGCGAGAGGCTTGAAGGACCGGTTTAAGAGCAGGCTAAGTGTTCTTATTTCACCCCTTATTAACCCTTAGTTTACCCCAACACCTCCTTCCCCCTCCTCCCCATATCTATTATTTTCCTGCAGTTTTTTTTCTACTTTTTTTGATCTTTAAATTTCTTAACCATAAATGTTTAAACATTTTTTTCCCATTTTGTATTTGGGGGTTTTTCGGTGTCACATTAAAAAAAAAAAAGTGCAACATTGTTTAATTTAAAAAAAAACAGATTGCATAAAAAATAAAAATAATTTTTGCAAGACAATTTTGCCCAAAGAAAAACTTGTTTGTCCTAAAGAAATATATATATATATTGCTTTGTTATAAGTAATGACAAAGTTATGGCTGAATAAATTGTCCATTAGTTATGTTTAATAAATGTAAAAATTGCCCTGTCCATAGGGGTGTATAGGTGCAAGAGCTGAAATAGTTAAAAACATGTGAGCAAATGCATCTATAATAGAGGTATATGCACTGAAGGAGGGGGAGCCCCAATCCCACTGAAGTAGGGGGAGCCCCAATCCCACTGAAGGAGGGGGAGCCCCAATCCCACTGAAGGAGGGGGAGCCCCAATCCCACTGAAGATGGGGAGCCCCAATCCCACTGAAGGGGGAGCCCCAATCCCCTCAAATGTGTTGGCTATGTTTTATGTCATACACTAATAAAGTGATCATTGTTCTTCAACCGGCTGGCTCCTTACCCACCTAAGCCACCTCCACATTCTTCACTTATTTCTTGCTGTCTGTCTCACGTCCGGGAAGTTTTTCTACACTTTGTGTCTTGGAGACACAACAGGAAGTGAGGGGAATGACCTGCTAAGCCAGTTGATACCAAAGCAAGTGTCTCCATTGGAACATTTCCCATCGCTTTCTGTTGGCTATGGACACCACCACCAATGTGTGGATCTCTCCAGCAGAAACACGTATAGCAAGAAAACCCTTTCACACTCCATTGAAAACTAAAACAAAAACTATTTTGGCTATACATACACTTTAAATCAGGGGTAGCCAAACTCCAGTCCTCCAGCTGTGGTAAAACTACACATCCCATGATGCATCTCTCTCCGTGAGTCACATCTGTGGCTATGAGAATCTTGCAATGCCTCATGGGATTTGTAGTTCCACCACAGCTGGAGGGCCGGTGTTTGGCTGCCCCTGCTTTAAATAGCTGCAATAGGGCAGATTTGTTTGACAGAATACAGATGGGGCCACACAGGATACATAGACCGCTTGTTTTTATTTTTTGATACAATTTTATTGTTGTCTGAGTGATGGGATTGGAAAGCCATTAATGAAAAAACGATCTTAAAGTCGTATTCCATTCCTTTCAATTCTATAACATTTCACAGAGTACTGGAAGAAAAAAAAAGAACTGGAATTAAAAAAAATTTAAAAAGTCAATATTGATCTTTATATTTATTACAGGTGTTTTGTGCGAAGACTACTGAATTCTCTAAATCAAAAGTGAAATGTCTTTTTTTAGAGGTGTACATTTTAGAGGTTTTCCCGGAAAGGGTTAAAGGGAGCTGTTCTGTAGGGGGTTTTTTTTGTGAAAAACGAGAGCTGTGTAATGTCTGGTCCCTTATCTGAAATCTCCTAAATGGTATGACTGGTTATTGGTGGAAGGTTTTCTGGAGATACTCTCAAGTTGGTATTAGTTTTTAGTTGTTGGACATGCAGGCAAAGTCCAATCACCCTTAGGCTAAAACATCTTCAGATCAGGCCATTAACTTGTTATCCTGGCTCTACCAGGCAGACATGTTTACGTTATTGATGGGAGGAAGAGCACAGAGGAAGAGAGGGTGCTGCCGGTGACTACTTCAAGGGATAAAACGGAACACGGTAGGTTACCCCTCTACCGCTCCAAGGCAATCTATAGGTTTTATTTACCTTTAATAGGCGGCTGATTGATTTTCCACCTTTCTGGTTCTGGCAACTGTTCAACTGGGTCAGCTCCATATGCTGGTTCTCGGTACAGCCTGACCATTCTTGTTGCCACCCGTCACATTGACATCCTCCTGTCAACACTTAAATCAATGGGGGACAATACGAGTGACTGCTTGCCAACCAAATGGGCAGTATCCACATCATTATAATGCAACATGGGGCCTGCCACATGTACTTCCCACAAGTACTTCCCACATTGCTGAATTGAGGAAGGGCTGGGGAACTTGCTGTCACAGGAATAAGAGCATTTTTGGGTCTCAAAGTTTATAGAATGCCTAGAAGCCAGAGGAAGGGCAACCAACAGTGGGGGGGTTCCTGCTTGGAGGTTAACCAGTTGTTGGAACAGTAGCAGCCGGGGATGTATTGTAACTTGTTCTATTGCTAAAATAAAGCCAGGGATATCGGATTACTGGATAGGACAACTGTCATCTTCTGCCTTTAGGCATGAGAACTATAAAACTCTCCTGGTATCTATGTTGGTACCTCCACTTAGGGCCAGTCCATCCTGCCTTTGGCTGTTCTCTGATAAAGACTTAGATCTTACACAGCCCTCAGATCTCATACCAGCTAGTGAGCTGAAGGTTGTAAACCACTGAACGGTCCTCTCTGTGGTGAAAAGGTTTCTGACTTTCATCTGGAGAACCCATTTCAAAATTAATCTGGTAAATCCACCAGCATTTCTTCATTAAATCGGTCTCCAGTCAGTGGCTTGGAAAACCATGGGGCTGTACTGATGGTGTCGGTCTCACCGCTGGTGCCCTGTACCTGATCAGCCTAGCTAATGCATTTTACATTTCCCTGTAAGCATTCTTTCTTTTGAAGTTGATGAGACCGATTCACCTGCCACCTATTGTTTTTCTGTTGCTACATAAAGCAAATTTGTTTCTGGGGAAAAAAGATGCAAGTTGTCTTTAGAGTAGACCACTATTTTTGGTAATGACTTTGTGCTGCTCTCTGGTACAAGAAAATCTGTTCCAAGTCTTGGAATTGTGAAAATTAGGTTTCTGATATTTGCTTGTTTTAATTACGAGTTGTTCTGTAGGGGAATGATATTTGTGTTCATTCGTTCTATCAATCTGTAACAAGAAACCGCTTTCTGATCTATTGCAGGTTTTACAGTTTGTCTAGTCAGGGGAGTCCTACCTATATTGGCTTAGGTTTATAATGTTTGAGTTGGAGGTGGGGTGGTGGTGTGAGCAGAGGAAATGGACCTCTGTTGAGACTTAGAATAATTTGGTTGGAATAATCCATTGGATGAGGTTGCATATAAAGAAGAGCATGTAAGAACACTGAAAACATTGCCCTTGTATAATAATCAGTCCATATTGCCCTTGTATAACATTCAGTCCTTATTGCCCTTGTATAACATTCAGTCCATATTGCCCTTGTATGACATTCAGTCTTTATTGCCCTTGTGTCATATTCAGTCAGGCCTCATTATCCTACCTTGGCCACGGAGCCCTCTAGTGTCTATACTGAGAAATTCAATTCAAGATTGCAAGTAAAACTTCACTATATGGCCAAAAGATTGTGGACACCCCTCCAAATTATTGAGTTTGTGTTTCCAGTGAAAGGTACAGTTAATATTTATCTAAACCCATTAGCAAAAATGTAATATATTGCAGCTCACCAGTCCTTGGATGTCAAGGCCGAATTCGTTTTCTCTTGTCAGACTAAGACCATTTTTAGCAAGTACAGAAAATTCTAGGGATGCACCGATACTAATACTAGTATCGGTGCCAATGCCGAGTATTTGGGTGAGTACTCAAATGCCCCGATGCCTAGCCCGATACCTCAGCTTCCGGTATCAGGAAGCCGGACAGCGAGTCATTACACGCTGCCCGGCTTCTTGATTGGTTCCCGCTCCATGCTCCCTCATCATCTGATGACAAGGAGCATGGAGAAAGCTTCCCTGCTAATCGGGATGCCGGG